GCAAGAAATGTTCCCCTCCTTTAGGGTAAGGTTCCTGTGGGATTTCAGAGTTGTGATGTAGTCCATCGGTGCCAGTCAGGTGACTTACAGTGCGCCTCCCCGTGAGAGGACTATGCTATCCACACCTGATTGCTATCAGACTTGGTCAATTGATTTGTTCTTGCCATTGAAATGTGAGAAAAGTAATATATACCAATTCCAAGCAGAAGCTTTAAGAGATTCTTATGTTTTGGCTTTTTCTTGCCACAGTAACAGCATTCTCAAATAAAAGCTCCTCCCTGTGCTATATCCTGGTACAAAATGTGGAGCAAGGAAGCAGGTAACATATAGTAAAAGAAAAAAAAATGGTATTGTAAGCCACTGAGAGTACATGCATGTTAAATTTAAGATGTTTCTAAAATAAAGTAAAACAGGTGGAGAGTTGAATACATGAATCAGATAGGAACAGATCTGAACTAGAGATAAAATTTGGGAGTTGTAAGCAGCTAGATTGCATTAGAAGATGAGTCTGCAAGGGACACAGGAATGGCCAGATATTTGGAAGAAAGCTTTGAGTAAAATTTTAATGTAATCTCACTTTTGCTGTCCTCATTATTCATTTCTTTTGCTTCACTTCCATTTCTCTAGCCTAGAGACTAAGGTGCAAGCATCAGAGCCTGCTGGGTCTGCCTCACACTTTAGTATTTGCTGGATTTTCAGCACAGTTTGGACAGTGACTCTCCCTTCCTAATTCACTTCTGTATGTCCAGAGAGGACAGTAAACCCCATCACATGGGAGAGAGACCTACAACTCACCTGCACATTCCTTCACCTTGGTTTTTACCTTGAATTCCCTTTCTTTCACATATGCATTCTACTTTGTGCTCTGGCTATGTCAATAATTGTTTTTTTTATAAATTTTGAGTAGATACATTGAAGGTTTATATAGGTATCAAATATAAAGAGCTATAATACAATGAACATCTGTTTGTCAACCACTCAGTTTAGGAAAAAGAACTTTACAATTATCTTTTGAAGTTTTCTTGTGCTTCTCCCCAATTCCATCTCATTCTCTCCTTCCTCAGAGATAACCACCAGACTGCATTTTGTGGTTTTCAGCAAATGAGGAATAGAAGGAAACTTCCTCAAACTGATAATGAGCATCTACCAAAAACTACCGATAATATCTATTGTGTCCATGCTTCTTTCTATAATTTTATCAAGCATGTTTGTATTCCTAAAAAAAAAAGTTACATTTTGCATGTATTTTTATCTTCGTATAAATAAAGTTATTATTCTAATGTGTTCCTTGTGCTCAATATTATTTTCCTGGGATTTGTTTATGACATTTCATGTAGCTGAGGATTATTCATTTCTTCATCTATATTGTGTGCTAAGGGATATCACAATTTATCTATTCTGCTTTAGCCTTATTCCATTAGTTTTGATAGGTAGTATTTAGTAATTTCATTATTGTTCAGGTCTAAGTATATTTAAATACCAATTGTGATTTTTGACCCATGAGCTATTCAAAAATACACTTAAAATTTTTTTTAGGGCTGGGCGCGGTGGCTCACACCTGTAATCCCAGCACTTTGGGAGGCCGAGGTGGGCGGATCACGAGGTCAAGAGATCGAGACCATCCTGGTCAACATGGTGAAACCCCGTCTCTACTAAAAATACAAAAAATTAGCTGGGCATGGTGGCGCATGCCTGTAATCCCAGCTACTTAGGAGGCTGAGGCAGGAGAATTGCCTGAACCCAGGAGGCGGAGGTTGTGGTGAGCCGAGATCGTGCCATTGCACTCCAGCCTGGGTAACAAGAGTGAAAAACTCCGTCTCAAAAAAAAAAAATTTAGCTGGGCGCGGTGGCTCAAGCCTGTAATCCCAGCACTTCGGGAGGCTGAGGCGGGTGGATCACGAGGTCAAGATATCGAGACCATCCTGGTCAACATGGTGAAACCCCATCTCTACTAAAAATACAAAAAATTAGCTGGGCTTGGTGGCGCATGCCTGTAATCCCAGCTACTCAGGAGGCTGAGGCAGGAGAATTGCCTGAACCCGGGAGGCGGAGGTTGCAGTGAGCCGAGATCGTGCCACTGCACTCCAGCCTGGATAACAAGAGCGAAACTCTGTCTCAAAAAAAAAAAAAAAAATTAAATACCTGAAGCTATTTATCTTCTGTTACTGACATTTCTCTGTTTTCATGGAATATACATTATCATAGTCTGTTCTGTAGAAGTATAACATAAAGCACATATGTAATTTTAAAATGCTTAGTTGCCACATTAAAGACTAAAAATAAACAAGTAAAATTAATTTTAATAATTTAACCCAAACTATCCAAACTATTATCATTTAAACGTGTAATTATCTTAAAATGTTATCATGGGTATTTTAATTTTTTTGTACTAAATTTTCAAATTGGTATGTATTCTACATTTACAGTACATCTTAATTTGAATGGGCCACATTTTAACTGCTCAATAGTTACATAAAGCTAGTGGTTACCATATTGAACAATGCAGGTTATAGTATAACAATTGTTTGAAATTAGCTAAAACAGCTTTTTGTCCTAGAAGTGGTCAATTCCATATGAGCTGGAAAATAATGACGCATTTATTCACTAATTATGTACAAGGTTCTATATGTGAACCTTAAATCTATCTTATGAACCTTCAGTCTTCTATATCTTTAATGAATTATTTCTTTGCTTGATCCTGGATTGCTACATTACACAACTATAGCAAAGATACTCACATAACAGTCTGGAGTTGTGCAGTTTATACTTCCACTGACATATGTGGTGGTCCTGGGATGATCTGTCTATAACTAAGAAAGCTATGGTAGATTCTACCACTAAGGTGTGGATTTAAGAATTTCTTTGTACAGTTATATCAAATTTTGCTTTATATATTTTAAGGCTATTTTAATAGGCACATAGAAGTTTAGAATTGTCATAGTAAATTAAACTTACCATAATTATCAACTCTGAATAATGATTTTTGACTTACAGTCTACTTTGCCTGATATTAGCATACTTACCTACTTCCTTTTCCTAAATATATCCCTGATGTATCTTTTCTAAACTTTTCCTTTCAGTATTTCCACGTCCTATGTTTTAGGAATCTCTCTTATAAAATGCATATAGCTAAAGTTTGTTTGTTTTTGTCAAATCTGATTCTCTCTTAACTCATGAGTTTAGTTTATTTATCATTATTCTGATTATTTAAGATTTTAATTTCTCTCTCTTTTTCTATACTATTTTCTCTTTTTAGGCCTTTTTGCAGAAAGGATTGCTGGACTTCTGTTTGTTTTCTTAGTGCACTTTTTCACTAATAGTATATTTTGTTTTTATTCTTTTAGAGTTCACTCTTGAAAGTTTGCCATGCATACTTAATGAAGTCTAAGATTAATATCTTAAACTCCTCTCAAATAATGTAAGGGCCAGAGAACACTCAGTTGTGATAACTGCTCTCCTTACATCCATCCTACATTTTTGTCCAGTATTCTAGTTCTTTCTTATTAGTTTCACTAATTGCACTTAATTAAAAATATGTTAATGCAGGCAATATTTACTTCTACTTACCTATATACAGGGCTAGCTATAATTCTGGAAAGAGAAATCTGGGAGTTTCTTTTTTTTCAATCACTTTCCCTCAAATTATATTAATATCTGGATTACCAAATCAAATGTGCCTTCTTATATTTATAGCATTAAAATTGGCTAGCCTAGAAATGTAAGCACTATTTTTATGGTAAAAATGTTTAATAATATAAGAGTGACACTAGAATGGAGCTCAAAAGATTGAGAAGCTACTACAGTACTCTAGGTGGGAGATAAAGTCAAGAAACTTAACAAGGGTTTTGGTAGTAGGAAAGGAGGAAATACTTTTAGATACCCCAAAGAAGCAGACTATACATAACTTGCTGTTACATGGTTGTGATAGAACAGAGAGAAAGAAATGTCAGAGATGACTCAAACCTTCAAAGATGACCCTTGAAGGTTTTCAGAAGTCAGGAGGAAAGGAAAGATTGAAGAAGGTGGTGTTTAATTTGGTTTTTGATGTATAGAATTATTGGTGTTGATGGGTCATTAGGGTGGAGGTGTGGAACAGGCAATTATAAATCGAAGTCACAAGTTTTTGCAGAAGGGTAGGAGCTAAAAGGAAGTGAGGGATGATGAAAAACAAAAGGATTAGGAGAAGGAATGAGCAATGGAGAAGAATCCCATGCATAGAACATACAAAGAGTCACAGTGATTATGCAAGGAGGAAGGACCCTTGATCATTAAGCGTGATTTTGCTGCTACTAGTGATTCCCTATCTTAATTTCAGTGCCCCTGTGAAATTTTCTCTTGAATTTCCTCCTGTCCTTACTTCCATCCAGAGGATCCCAAGCTAAGCATTAAGATCTGCTTATGTAGATTAAGATGTTAAAGTGATCTTTATGTTTTCTAATTTCTAATATGTTCTATACTGTATTCCATCCCTGACATCACACATCTCTCTACTTAATTTGGTTTGTTCATATCAATATTTGAGATAAGTAAAGGAAAGAAAATTATACAGGTAAGTAAAAGAAAGGAACTGCCAACTTATATTGATTTTATGGCATATCCCAACATATTTTCCTTTTTTAAAAGGAACCAAATATTGTCTGGTGCTGTTACAGAATTTCCTCATACAGTTTTCAACCACAACTTGCAACATTTTGTTTTTTGCACACATGAATAGCCAGAAGACATTTTATTGTATTTGTGACTCTGCATATGTGGTTAGTATTTATTGCAAAAATAATATCTTACTACTTATTAAGCAAAAATTAATCCTGGGAAAATACCATGTACACAGCACTTATAAACTGCTGTTAATAGTTCAAATGATATATAATAGCAGCATATATACTACTAAAGAAAATAAACAGATTAAGTTGTAAAGTAATATCTTCTGAGCCAGGAACTGCAACTTAGGAATTGCATTACGGGTGAGCACTGACTTATTTGTCGGGTTTGATTTTCAGGGAATTGATGCTGATTTCACATCAGAAAAGCATTGAGCAGCTGCAGGAAACCCTTAGACAGAAGCTGCTGAGTGATGATAACTGGAAGGAGAAGGTAATGGTAGTGTGGTTTTCATCAGCATGCAACCTATTTGCTTTTTAAAAACTCTGTCCATTTGTCAGAAGACTCTTCCAGATAGATTTCTTTGCTTCTATGCACACTTTTGATTCTTTCTAGAATTTCCTAGGCCAGACATGCTTATGGAGTGTGTTTTTTCCAAAATATTATACAACATAATGGGAAATAAAAAACTAGAACACATTTTGAATTCTTGTAAGGTAGCTCTTGGTTCTCATGCAAAAGCACATTTTTTTTGCTTTTAAGTATTTTCTTATTTCCCCATTAACTGTCACAGTCTACATTTGATCATTTTCTTAAAACCAAGGAAATAATTCTTACGACTTTTCTGCTTCTCTTAGAAGATAAAAGAATGGAAAATTACTTAAAATTATTCAGTTTTGGACTCTTGACATATTTACCCTGACAAAGTAAAATGAATAAGCATTTAGCTTGCTATTATTTACAGAGAAATGTTTGCTGTTAGAGTACAAAAAAATTGCATTGATTTTGGTCTTTGGACTTTTTTATAGTTTTCAAAGTTTCAACAATGAATATGTATTACTTTCATAATTTTAAATAATAAAAGTAATATTTAAAAAAAATTTTAGTCCCTACCTTCTCAGGCCATCCACAGGTCTAGTCATTGAGTTAAAAGCAGTCTTCTTTCTGCCATAAACTTCTAGTACTCCTTGACTGATCCCTGGGCCCTATTCTACACACTGACCCAAAGCATTCCCAACTCATTCTTTTCCATGAGTGTTATCTATGCCTAACACTGTCCTTCTGCCTTGGTTTTCTTATTATGTCTTAAATTTTCCTCCAGAAATGGAGCTGGTTTCCAAAATTCTGATTGTTTGACTGAAGTCCTGACAACTTGTTTGGATTTTGCCAGATTCTTCTCCTTCAGGATACAACCCCATAACTTGTAACCTCAGCAACAAGCAGTGGCCTCCTTCAGACTAACTCAGGAATACCTCACTCCACCATCCAGCATACTGAAACCTGTTAGGCGTTCTTGCTGGCTCAGATCATTTTTAAATTTGTTGCTTTCGTTTCCAGTCTTCAAATAGTTGGCCATACTCAGCCAAAAGTAGCTGTCTAAAAATAAGTATCCCTTCCCTTGTCCATCAGGCTCCACATCAGGATATAATAAAAATAATCACTGTAACAATAGTACCCCATGGGCCAAAACGAAATTGGAGAATATGGACTAACATTACTATTTGTATCTCATTCTTATTTTGTTTTCTTTTGTAACATAGCCCTTTTCTTTTTCTTCTTCTCTAAGGCCCACCTTCTTTAATTCTTTCTAATTTTCATTAACCTCAGGGTATTCCACTGAGTGGTCTGTACTTATTCACTTTCCCTATCCTTTCCAATCTATGTTTAAAAATTGAAAAGGAAGATTATCAAGCCTATTTTATGTAATCCAAAGTATTCAAATTAGGACAATGAAAGATTATGGTTTATCCATCCAACTGATAGAATAGTTTAACGCTGTGGTTAACATCTAGTAAAATCATCTCTCATACTTACTCTTTAAGGGACTAGAAATTAAAACAACCTTTTTGGAAAGCAGTTTGTCAATATGTATCAAGAGATATTGTAAACTTCCCATCCTTTAACTCAGAAATTTTAATAAAGGAATTAACATGGATAGAGATTCAGGGAGTCATTCCTCTTCTAAACTCCTGAGCTTCTCTTGGTATGAAGGAGTAAACTTTCCTGTTTTTGCTTGTGTAGAAATTTCCCATCTCCATATTCACACCTCACTAGGGGTTTTTGGATGCACTTCACTGGAGAAAAGTTCTCTGTTTATGATTCCCTCCCTCTAGTACTTCTGTTCACTGTACCCTGTCCTTGAGTTGCTAACACAGAGTAGAACAAGTTAGTGTTAGCATCTGACATGTAAAAGCGTTTATGTTCTTGCTTGATGCTATCAAGTTAATCTGGTGGTAAAAATAATTCTATATAAAATTCTATAAGTTCTTGTTAAGACCATGATATCTTTCTAATGAATTAATTATACTGCAGAGGTATTATGGCATGTATAATTTTATATAGTATAAATGGACATTTCATTTGGTTGAAAGGACATGACTTCTTGTTAATAAATGTTATTATTTAGCTAGCAGTAAATCAAGATCCAGACCAGGAAAGCCAAGGAATAATAATTATGCCTTGGCTGTGTTAGCTATTGAGACATGAATAAAAAGTTCTCTAAAAGTCCTCTCATGAGAAAGTAGAATCGTTAATATGACATTGTCATCTTTTTCTTGGGTCACTGTGCCTTTGCCAAAGAATGAAATGTTCTTTTTACAAATATATAATACACATAACAAAATAAACTTCATAGCTTAAATTGTTTTAACATGCAAAAAAGTAGATAGCAATTTGTGTCTGTGCCTAATTATTTTAGAGTATGTAAAAAGCACATAATAAGATCAATAGTTGCTATGCAACAAGGATGGCACATTTTAAAATAACTGCATATTTACTAATTGTCATGGATTTTTGTTTATTTCAAGTATTACTATTTGCAGAGAGCAAATTAATGTGCATGCTGAACCTTTAAAAGTGGTTTTAAATGTACAGTGTTGTTACTATTTAGTTAAAATTTTGTAATTAAAAAATCCTAAAGCCACACTGCTTACATAATCAACTCACATTTATTTAATCACTATAACTTTATAGCACAATAAGCAAATTCCAAGCAAATATTTTCTTAGATTATCATCAAGATATCACACTTAAGAACCTTTTTTTTTTTTTGGTGGCGGGGGATGGAGTTTCACTCTGGTTGCCCAGGCTAGAGTACAATGACATGACCTTGACTCATCACAACCTCCGCCTCCTGAGTTTAAGCAATTCTCCTGCCTCAGCCTTCAGAGTAGCTAGATTACAGGCATGGGCCAACGCACCCAGCTAATTTTGAATTTTTAGTAGAGATGGATTTTCTCCATGTCAGTCAAGCTGGTCTTGAACTTCCAACCTCAGGTGATCTGCCTGCCTTGGCCTCCTATAGTGCCGGGATTATAGGTGTGAGCCACCCCATCCAGCCCCAAGAACATTTTAGAATTGCACTATTGACCTCATTTAAAATAGTGCATAGAGCTTTTGAGAAACCAGTAGTTAAAGCAAACAAATAAAACCTTGTTTTTTGGCCGAATCAGCTGGATTGATAGTGAAAATGCAGGTAAAAAAAAGTTTACATCAAGAAATAGTCAATTTCAAAATTGAAGGGAGGCAAAAAAGAATCTCAAATTCTTTCTTGAAATGGAAAAACCAAATGACTTGATGTGTTTTAGTATACTATTATTAAAATAAAAGGAATAATTTCTGACATATAAAATATGACAGATGACATCGTTATTTATAAATAAATTTAAAAATAAATAAAGTTAAAAATATCAATTTTAACTTATGAATAATAAACATGGCTAAAAGGAATATTGAGGACACACTTTAATTTTTATATTTTTTAAAATGCAGTTTTAGAAATTGAATTAATAAAATCCCCAGATTTTAGATCTGGAGTGGCTTGCAAAAATTATCTTATAAACCACTAATCTAGAAAACAAAAAATAGTCTCCCATTATTAATGTAATTTTAATCATTATGACATTATTATTCCCATTTTGCACAGTTTAAAAAAGACTTAGAGAAGTTAGGTAATTTGGCAAAGTTACAAAGGCAGGAAATGAGCTAAGAATCAAATTCCATGTATCTAAATACAAAGTTCAATATTTCTGCATTTGACCAAGATGGAGTAATAGGGATCAAGTTTACCCTCCTACCTGAAACAAATAAAACAGTGAAGAAAAGATAGAAAACAATGATTTTGAGACATTGGACATCAGGCAATGAAGGAAAGTGATTCTTGGAAACAGAAGAGAAACAAGATGAGTTGTATGATTGCCATAACTTAGTGCTTTGAAAGAAATTTCAGGTCATGATGCAGGGAGTGGGAATCCAGTTTGAAACTGTTAGATTCTTTGAGTTGAGGGAACCTTGCAGAGTCCTGGGAGATCATGGTGGGTAAAGTTCACAGATAGTGTTCACAGAGTAGCTGCACTGTGAACTTGAAGACACAGCAATAGAAAAACTTTTCAAATAAAACATGATATAATAGACTCTAAAACAAAAACAAACAAAACTCAAAAGGAACATCAGTGAGCCATGAGACAGATTCAAGTGGCCCAATATAGGTGTAATTGAAATTCCTGAAGGACAGGAAACAGAAGAGGGGAAAAAAATAAACTGAAGAAATAATGACTGAAAGTTTTACAAATTTAATGAAAACTAAACACCCACAGTCTTAAGAAGCTCAACAAGCCTGAGGTACAAGAAACGAAGTGCACCACGGGAAATTATAATCCAGTTATCCAAAACAGTAATAAAAAGAAATATTTTAAAGCAACTGGATTTTTTTAGAAGGCATTATATAGAGAGGAAGAAAGGTAACAAAAATAGATTTTTTTAAAAAATCAGAAACAATGCAGGCAAAAAGACAGTAGGATTGAAAGTACTGAAAGAAGACTGGGGGGGAAGTGAGGAAAGCTGTCAACTTAGAACTCACACCAAGTGAAAATATCTTTCAAATATAAGTAAAATGGAGACTTCTTCAGAAAGCACTGAAAAAATTAATTACCAATAGACTCACACTATAAAAAATGTTAAAAGAAGTCCTTTAGTCAGAAGGAAAGTATATCAGATTAAAATGTGAATATACACAGAGGAAGGTAGAAAACCAGAAATGGTAACACTGTGGATAAAGATATGGGGTGTTTTCTCATTATTTAAATTTTTTAAAATGTAATTGATTAAATAAAGATAATCTATGAGATTTATAACATATAGAAACAAAATAAATGATAATAACAATGGCAGAGAGGGTAGAAGTGTAAATATATTACTGTGAGATTCTTATAATGATATATTATTAGATAGTAGACTGTATTGAATTGAAGACATGTTTTCCAAACCCTAAAATT